AGAGTTTAATTTAATATACCTATGGAAACTTAAAAGAATTAAACAAGAAAATAAAAAAGATACAAATATATAGGCCATTTCACGCCAAATTGGCTATTTTTTTAGATTACCCCTTTCAATTTAGATGAAAATTATATATGTTATTAATATGTATCCGATAAATTATAAATAAAGAAGCAAATATGAAAAAATATTGCACTAATATGATTACGATAACGATATTATCAGCAGACGTAAAAATCTTGCAATTAGATAAAGATATAAATTATATTCATTATATCTGCAATAATATTAGAAAAATAAATAGCACAAGGTTAATAAGGCCTAATAAGCTTAAAAAGACTAACTTGTCATTAATTTTTAATTTCAAAGAAAAAAAGAAACTAAAATTAATAAAAATTAACATGATAAAAATAGATATAGTATTCATTTTAGTTATATATACATTAGAAAACCAATAAAATAAAAAACAATTACCACACAATAATACGATTTGGTTAATACAAAAATAACAAATCCTGAGTTCACAAGGAAAAAATCTAATTTATAGCTGTTGAAAAGGTACAAAGTTTCAATCGATTCTTCGTTATTGAAGAAATACTAACTAGTTAAAAATAAATTATACAAATGAGGGAATGTAATTTAGCAAGGACGATTCTGTTAAAGTTGGTATTCACGATGTAGCACGATGACGTTATTTCACGCGACATTTAATAAACAGCACCATAGCTCGCATCTTTGTGTCCATTAAACTTGGCCTTTTCGGCTTTTATGTATAATTTCGCGAAAAGGTCTGTCAATCAGGCCCGATGATCACAAACCGCAACAAATTAAGTATGCAATCGGTTAATAAATTAGTCGAACTAACGAGCGTTGTTGTTGTTGCTGGCGCTGTTGTTATTCATCTCAGCATACGTTACAACGTCTCACTCATCTCAAAGAGGGTCTACTCTAACAATAATTAATAATGCAAAGTTAGGTAGGTATATGAAGTATCAAGGTAGTCTCACGAGTATCTCACATATATTGTTTACGTTATCATGTCTCTGTAGTTTCTCGACAATTTCTCACGACATACTACGATATCCGTGAATTCTCGTTTAGTTAAAAAAAAAAACTTGTATATTGCGACAATGACGACAATTTCGAAATAAACAATAACGAGTTACACGTTGTTATTCGAGAGTAAGAATAAATTGTTCTCGTGCTTTCTGTAAAAAGAACTAATTCCTTTTTTGTAAATTATTATTATATAAGAATAATGAAAATACATGTAATTGAGATTTGCAATGTTCCGCTAGATTTGTTCGAAAGCACGTTATTCATGAACGAACACACTAACTTGTATGTTTATTTCATAAAAAGTCACATTGACTGAGAAAGAAAGAGAAATAGGCTTAATAAATAGGTCAAATAAATAATAAAATGATACGAAAGAAAATATTTATAAAGAATTTCAATATAGAATGTATACGATACTACTGTAGTAATAATCAGTCATATTTATCTCAATGATGTCATTCTCATACTATCATGATTAGAATTATTATTAAGATCATTATCATTGAAAACAACTTACAAGACTCTTATACACATGCATTATTATTTTTCGTTCGTTGATTCACAATAAATAGCAATGTATATGCAAAAAAATGTTTTGACATTTCATTAGAAATAATCACGCCATTCACTAGAAAGGATAATTTTGGGTAGAACCCTAAGAAACACGCGCGATCGTGTATTTATACATGTATACTTAGATTAGGTTGTTCGGAAAGTTTGGATGGATCTATAGATATATTTTCAACTCGATAAGTTCTTGTAACTACAGAAGTGGAATCTTCTAACTCAGAATAATTTAATTATAAATTTATATGTGAAGTAAATATATAGGCAGGAATTTATTAATTAAATATTGATTCTTGATTACATTTCATAATACTATAATAAAATTATTATACATAATGTTAAATATATTATATTTATATTCAATATCAATATAATATTCAATATTTCAAATTTATTAATATGAAGGATGTTTGAAATGTTTTTAACCGACGTATATATTTATAAGTATTTAATATTCTTTTTTTTAAATCAGTACGAACTTTTCAAGCAACCCAATACATTGACAAGAGAAGCCACGAATAGTATTTTACGCTAGAGTAAATCTCGTAGTGGTATCAGATAAATCATTAGAACTTAACGGTATCGAACGAGCACAAATACGATTTGTTGTTATTATGAACGGGTCTACTTGCGGTCAAGAAAAGAAAATAAAAAAAAAAAGAAAGAGAAAATAAAGGGAACAAACTTACACAACACACATGGAAGGGTAACGAACGCGAACGAATGAACAAAGTGGGTTGCCATGAAACAACTAATGCGATTTCCTTAATGGAGATGGACGGGAAAAAGTTGATAACAATCGGGTAAATCGCGTTGGACTGTAACAACACGAAACTTTATGAAATTATAAAGAAAAGAAATATACAATAAGATTATTATTGAATCGTTTGCGATCAAAGTTTTCATCGAAATAAAAACGTCAGTTTATTTGACTTTAAATTACAATTTCTCATCTCGATTCAGAAGATCAATTATAACTTTGCATTATTTATTTATATGGTAATAAAATAACGAACCACTCATGGCTATTATATATTTACATATGCATTCGACAGTGAGCTTTAATGATAGTAACCTATATATGATGATTATAAATATATGGATAAGAATTACCTAATTATTGATTCTTAAATTATATCTAAAATTAATTACCTTTTTTTCTCTCCCTTTTACAGATTCGAGTCACTTCTCTATTAACCCTTCTCACACCTATTCAATATTAACAAAGAGATCATGTGTTTTTACTGCCTTTTTAAAATTAACAACACACGGTGTTTATTTTATTGTTTTAACCCATCCATTTTACTAACAGTGTCTACGTTACTTAGATTAGAGATCTGACGTAACTCAACGTAGTTAGCCCGTTGACTATTTCTTAATTAAATTGAAATTTTATAATAATTAAAAAAGTCCTTATAAAAAATGTTATGTAACTATAAGTAATATATGATAAAAACTAAATACACATGGAAATAAACCTGTTTATTACCGATTATCTAAATTTTGTTTGTGCTAATTTTTATTTTTATAATACTAATAACAAAATGTGCTTAACACATTACAAACAGGAACCGAGAGGTCTTGTTTTCAGGTACGTGTGAAATTTACTTGAGAATTGCAAGATAACGGTTATTCTTATAACAGTAGAAAGAAGTTCATTTCAACAATTTAGAAGAAAATGTTAAATAAGCATGTAATATTTAAGTTTATAATATTAAATCATTGAATAATGATTGTTAACAGAATTCATTTTTCATAAAATGTAATCCGTTTGTGATATGTTAAAATGATTGCAATATAATTCTTCAACAAATCTACTTTGAAACAATTATAAAAATTGATAAAAACATAACACGGATAGTACTCGAGTCTTCAAAATATTTATACCACGCATGAAATAAGATATTATCTGTACGTTTTATCTATACATTCTATTCATTCTTTATTCGATATATCTATATATATACTCTATTACATGTCATTTGTACTTAAAATAAAACGAATTGATAAAACATTCTACCATACATATCACGCATATGTATATACAGGTCGTCTTGTGACTGATGATACAAATAAGTAGAAGGTGATTCTAGATGACAAACTAAAAATGTAAAAAAATAGTTAGAATCACTATGGAAATTAAAAGAAACAGAATATTTATTATAGAAGAAATTAATGAATATCTTACGCACATAATTTGAAACAACTTTTATATCGATATTTTCGTAAGAAAATCGAATTGCAGAAAAAAATGGTAAATCGATATAACGTTGATCGTGATAATAAATTATCGATGAATAACGAAGATGATTAGACAAATGGTTAATTTAGAATTGTGAAATCTTTTAAGCGTCGAGAAATTCCAAGCAGATATTCTTTTCTCTTACTTAGGTGTGCGTGTATCAATCGAATTTTGTTCCGCAGTGTGTCGTTCTCATAGAAGGGAAGAACATACACAACTTACGTATAGCTTTATATGTATATAGAAAGAGAGAGAAAGAAAGAGAGACATACACATGGGACAGTGACATGGGAACCAAGTATGGGATAGGCTCGTGCGAGCCCATCGTTAAACACCTATCCGAAACATACAGAGAACGTGTTACGACGACCCACATTTAGCAGGTAGATAGTAAAAGTCAGAGTTCCTCTTATGTTAGTGAAACCTACAATGAGTAGCAACGTGAAGTAAATGCGCGAGCGCGCGCACAAACATTTTTCTTTTTTAGAAGAAGTTTTTACTATCAGTATACTATTAACGATGAAAACAATCGAAGATAAGAACGCTATGCGTTTAATGACTTAAATTCTTAGCCTGTCGTAATCAACTTTCTAATCGAACTTGAGAATTAAATTCGAATTAGAAAAGTAATATGTTCGACCGATGTGTATTTATTCGTTACAAATGAAAAATGACAAACGAAGCAATAAAATATGCGAAAGGATCGATGAATTTTAGATGTTAATTCAATAAAGAGAAAGGATATTTAAAAAAAAAAAAAAGAGGCGCGTCCCCAATAGAATATGATTTTGACGTTATGTGTACATACATGCACGGTATTACACCAAACACGTTAGTCATGATCGTTCAATCTTTTATACCATTCGAAATATTTCTAAACATAAAATTATGGTTTAACAATCCTATGCGTCACGATATAAAACGTACCTTTCGTTTTTCTGCACGCAACATTGACTTCCCTTTTAACGTGACGATGTTCGATCGTTTTTATCGTAACGACGAACCGTTACATGGTTAACAAGAAGAAACAAAAAAGCAAGTATCAAGAGAATTTCTTAAAGAATTCGTAGTGACGTTTCTTCGATCTAGAAAAAAGAAATAAAGAATAAATAATTAAATTGAGGCTTACCTCTCTAAACAGCAGGAACAAAGTTAGGCGTGTATATTCGTTCGTCCAATAACAACGACGCAAGAGATGGAAAAAGTCAACCGGCCAAAGAAATCTTTCGTTTTCTACGTCGACAACGAGATGAAGGAAAGACGAACGATTGTCCTAGGCAGAAAAAATGGATATCGTCTGTCCTCTTCTCCCGGTCGGCGTATAGCCAGGTGTCGAAAAAACCTTACCTACGAGAGCATACACACAGTAAACAAGTCAGCGCGTTCCAATTTCACCGACTGACGAACGCGATACGTCTCCGTCGAGACCGCGAGACGACGCCGTTAGGCGGCCACTACCCATGCACGCGCGATTTTCAAATAGTCCCACACTACTCTATTCTACTCTTCACTGTTCTCAATATTAAAGAGAGTCACTGATTACTTCTCTTCCCTCTCTCTTTTGCTCTTTCACTCTTTCTTTCTCTTTCTCTTGTTCTCTTACTATCACATTTATTCCATTATTTTCTTATATTAACTATATTTTTTCGTTCCACCTATTCCTCTACTTTGACACTTCTTAAATTCGTCGTTTGACGATAATTCTTTTTATTATTGCAAACATCAACCAACTAATCGTCTTTATTAACGACAAATTAACCTGACGGTACACCTATATACGTTTGGACTTTTAAATGCCGTAAACACGCTGGAACTGCTTTCGATGTGTTCTTACGCGCGAGTCAACATGGCCGAATAGGAAAACTCGAGGTTTCTCTTATGACGCAATCGAACGAACTCGTCTCCCCACTACTATATTCTACCTTGAAGCGTGCCGCGTACTTTCGTGCGCATTTTCTTCGCTAGGCGGCATCACAGGAGGGGATACCGTTTCGATAGGTATAATAGAGAGGGAGATAAAAAGGAGAGAAAAAAAAAAGATTATAATGTAACTATGTACACTTTTATGTCTATAAATGTAACATCACATCGCCATCTTGATTTTTAGTTTGTTTCCCGCCAATTCGTATACGCACGCGCATATGCAAATATTGAATAAAAATAAATTACCTTTATCATATAGTTTACACTTATGTAATTGTTTATCCTTTGATTGATGATTAATTTTTATTTTTGTACGAAAGTACGAAAGGTTATCTTATGTAAGATTTGTTTGTAAAAAATTGTATTAACAATAATTCGCAATTCTTTTTTTTATTGATTATAACATCAAGAATTTTCACTATTCCTCCAATTTTGGGATTGCGTAGTAAAGAAGAGCTTGTTTTTATCATTTTCTGTAAACTACGTCGATTTTAGATTATTTTCTTATCCAAAAGTATCCGTTTCTGTTACCATTTTAAAACTGGACGAAAATATAGGTTGTATTTATTTTAACAAGCATACCAATATAATGATATTAATAGGAACTACAAACTTGAAGAGAATTTAGATCGAATTTATATTTAAAAAATATGACAAACTTACATATCGAATCATTTTCAATTCTAATTAAAAATATTAAAATTATAAAATACCATGTTGTAATCTAATAAAATAATGATAAGTCTTTAACTGTATCTTTTTCCACCAATCATTGCCAGAATAAAAATAACTAGAATAATATTTAATATATTGAAATAGCTGCTATTTCTCATCCGAGTTCGATGTAATGTCAAACATTTAATCATAGGCTGGGAAGTAGGAGGGACATTCGATTGTTTACAAATCTACGTGGCGATGATACTTCGTTAAATGATAATAATAATAATAATAATACATTGATTGTATTATTAAATTTTTTTTTTTATATAACATATGTTTATTGATATGTGTAATCTACAATCTACACATCATGTTAACCAAAAATAGAATAATGAAATACATCTTTCAAATTCTTTGTCAAACTATTAAAAAATTCAAATATTGATGATAATAACATAGCCTTATCTCTACTCTCCTCGAATTCAATGTGATGTGTCAATGTTATATAACTCTGTCACGAAAAGTGGCACCTTCAGTATTTTTAAATCGCGATACACTCAGTTTATCGCCAACCTCAACGAAAGTCAGATTAATTCATTGAAGATTAAAGAAAGGGTAAAGTAATCTTTTTCTCTTAACAAATATCATTCTTTCTTCAATCTTATCCTGCTATTTTATTTAAGCAACAACAGACAAAACACTGCTATAAGCTAACGATTCTTATAATCTCTATTTCCTCTATTCGCAGCTCAAATGAAATTCAAATTGTCATAGTATTAGATATTTTTATAATCTAATACGTAAGAATTATTTTATTAACAATGAATATTATTAATCTTTCATAAATTACTAGAGAGTGCCACTAATAATTATATTTAAGAAAAACAATATATATTGCTATACTTATTCTGAAGTAATATTATTCCTATAGCATCGTTAATAATTTTATATTATCTTTAAAGTTATATCATTTTATAAATTCTTATTTGTATATATCAAAATTGTCGATTATAATTGTAGATGATATTTTACATTTTCATATATATTTATGATATAGTGATTGGTTATTGGACTGGTCTTTTATTGTTTTATAAATTATAAAGTAGAGTAAAGAATTGATAAATAATATGCAGCATACCACAAAATCAAAATGGCAAATGAGTCTTGGAATGTACTGGTGACGGGTGGTGCTGGTTATATTGGTTCTCACACTGTTTTGGAACTACTACAGGCCAACTTTCAGGTGGTGGTAATAGACAACCTTAGTAATGCCTATAAAGGTGAGGTATAACTGAGTGTATCGGTTCACCATGCATATGTATGTATATATAATTTATATTTAACCCTTCGCACTATTAACATGTAAAATACAATACTTACTGGCTCAAACATGAGAAATAAAAGTCCTACTCATGGAAAATCTTTTGGGTCAGATATAAGAAGCATGAATTGTAGCATTGAATGTTGCACGCAGCTCAATATGTTAAATTATAGTGCAAAGGGTTAATAAGAAAGTGCATGCTACAACATTAACTTCACTATTCTTCCTTTATAAATGCTTTTATTTATTTTCATATTATCTAAAATGTAATATGTCATAATATTAGTACGTTCAAGAATATGCGTTATGTACCTAATGTTCTCATGTATTTACAGGAGACATTGATGATAAACCTGAATGTCTTATAAGAGTTGAAAAACTAACAAATAAAAAGGTTACATTTATAAATTGTGATATAACTAATATAGATGAATTGAAGAATTTATTTGCAAAGGTAAGATCTCTATTTAAAGTTATTGGAGAATTAATAGTGATCATGAAACATAAATTTCATTATAGCATACTTTTCAATGCGTCATACACTTTGCTGCACTGAAAGCAGTTGGTGAGTCTTGCTTAAAACCTCTAGAATATTATGAAGTCAATGTTGGAGGTACTTTAAATCTCTTGAACGTAATGAGAGAAAATAAGGTCAAACAGTTTATATACTCCAGTAGTGCTACTGTATATGGTATTCCGGAAAAACTTCCATTAGTAGAGACTATGAAGACTGGAAATTGCACAAACCCATATGGAAAAACAAAGTATATGGTTGAAGAAATTTTGAAAGACCTTTGCTTATCTGACAAGGTATAAAATTAGATTTTATGTAGACTATTTATAGAATTATACAAAGTTTCAAACAAATTTGTACACTTTTAGGAATGGTCAGTTATATCTCTTAGATACTTTAATCCAGTTGGTGCACATCCTTCGGGACAAATTGGAGAAGATCCTAATGGTATTCCAAATAATTTAATGCCTGTAATAGCTCAAGTTTCGGTTGGAAAAAGAAAGTCAGTTGATGTTTATGGTAATGATTACGATACTCCTGATGGAACGGGTAAGTAAAATATATGTTTATTGATAATAGAAGAAGCACAATAAGATAATATTTTATGATCTTTATGGACTGAAATATAATAATTATTTATCTAATTCCCTAATCTTTTTCATTGAAGGTGTTCGAGATTATATTCATATTATGGATTTAGCTGATGGCCATGTTAAAGCATTGATTTATCAAAAAGATCAAAGTCCAACTGGATTTAATCCTATAAATTTAGGTACTGGTAAAGGATATTCCGTTCTAGAAATTCTTCAAGCATTTGAAAAAGCATCAGGAGTAAAGATACCATACAAGATAGTGGACCGTAGACCTGGTGATATATCAACTAGCTACGCTGACGCAAATTTAGCATTTAAACTGCTGAATTGGCGTGCTGTAAAAAATATAGATGATATGTGTAAGCATAATTTTCTTATTCTTTTTACAAACTGACACATATGAATTATATCAAGTTTCATAATTTATAGGTGCAGATACGTGGAAATGGCAACAAAGTAATCCAAATGGCTATAAGCCTACTTATCATGTGCTTAAACATGCCATTGTTTAAATAATAAGAAATATGTACATTTTGTTTTTATATGCATATAAGAGGTATGCTCTAGCAGCACGAAATGTCGGTGGTGTATAGTTACCAAAGTTTAGACCAAAGCCTAAGGTGAAAACATATCTGTAATATATCTTGTTATACAAATTTTGATAAATATGACAAATTAATTGATCAATTGATAAATCACGTTAATTTGATTTTATATTTTCACATAGTTTTATGTTAAGTGCAATGCCAGTGTCATTCCTAATGTTTAGTAATAATAGATACGTTTTGTTCCTTTTCTTTATTATCTAATATTTAGTGATACTTATATTTGTTGTACAAATATAAAAAAATATTGTATATTTAGATTTCTAAATTGTGTGCCATGTGTTAAAATTAGTTTAAAAAAGACCAACTTTTTTCATAAGTACAAAGATTATAAATATATTATTCACAAATGTGTTAACTATGTATTGTTATCAACGTTCAATAAAATTTGACCGTTAAAAAAATATTATTTATTAAATATTTCATCTCATAATAGAGGATATGTCAATTTTTATAAATATGATATTATTGATCATTAAAATTTTCGTAGCTATTAATGTTTTTTTTTTTTTTTTTTTTTAATTTGAACCTTATAATCATGACAATTGTAAATTTAAAAACAATTATAAATATTGCTTTATTATTGTATGAGTAGCTTAGAAGCCAATGCGATTAAGTCCAGATAATAAAAATCGAAAAAATTAATGTTTTTACATTTTTTTTTTAAATGTCTAATTTTTTAATTTAATCAGAAAAAGTATATAAAGTTTTTTTTTCAAAAGGTAGATTTTGTAACAAAACAAGGTATGCACAGAATGTATAAACACAAACCCAAGTATTTATTGGGATTATGACAGCAACTTAAAAACTGTAGGTCTTTCACTTTTTAGCAGCCGAAAAAGATAAAAGAAACGAAACAACGAGTAAATCTTTTAATAACTGAAAATAATATTATTTATTCCATTTAAATTTATAAAAACTAGAATATATAAAAATATTGACTTAACCGCATTGAATCCTGAGCGACTCATATAAAAATTGTTATATTAATTATTTAAGCCAGTACCAGATTAAATGTTTTCTGTTTTTAATAGTAAAAAATATAATTTTTATTAAAAACAGGTTATAAGTGGGTATAAATAAACTGTCGATAGAGATTTAATGTTAATCAAGTCGAGTAATTTACATATAATTAAAGTATTATGAGGAATCATTCATCGACGTTAATCTTTAAATAAATAATTATCGTACGCCATATGATTAATTACAATTATTGGTTATTAACGTCATTGATTGTCGAGATAGAGATAATAATGAAGATTTGTAGAATTCTAAAAGTCGATCTTTAAATGAGATTTGATAAACGAAAGATTTATTGAAATTCGGTTAAGTCGAGTATATAGAAGGAAAGACCACCATAAATTGGCACAAGTGAAAAATGGATATCTCCTGTTCTTTTCCTGGACTGGTAAAGGAGGCTGCATTAACGGTGCATGGACAAGGTGTCCTCGCCGTTACCGGCGTTGTCGGATATCCAATGCGACCGAGTTCTGTGTAAAGAGTAAGAGAGACAAGGCGTAAAAGTAAATATACTTCGTCTTCCTCTTGCTATGGGCGACTAGAGCCAATGTTCCGGACTATTGAAAAATATTTTTTAACACTAGCACTACCAATGATTTACGTATACCTACTTCTACTGTAAAGGTCAGAATGACTTGTTCTTGATAAAAAAAGAATTACTTAACAAAAAAACATGGAATTTTATGCTTTTTTTTATATATTTCCTTTTGTATTGCAAGAAAATTAAACATTTTAAATAATAATTTGATAATAATTTTTAAAACATGACGACCTCTTTGTTTAATCCGACATTTAATTATCTTTAAAGAAAAGTTTTAAGTTCGGAAATAAATTTGACAAATGACGCTTGTGGATCGATTATGTAATGCCGTGTAATTTTTAACTAACATTCTTTATATTTATATTTAAAATATTCTATTTCATCTTTTTCTTTATACAATTAATTGTTAAAAACTAGTATAAGTTATATTATACGTTTTACAGTATATCATTTTAATTTGGATACGAAATAAATAGGATATGAAGTGTTAAAGGTAAGTAAACACTCATACTATATTATCATCTTAACAGTATAACTCAAAAAAGAAATATAGTATAGTTATGATAGTACAAATTATACTATAAACTTTATGTTATATCATTTTTTTGTTCATACAAAAATGTAAATTAAGTTACAAATTGTTAAAAAGCAGTTAGTTACTTCATTTGATTATTACCTAGATCATGATTAGGTATTTCAGAATGAGTTAGAATCAATAAAATGTTTAAAAAATACAGTAAAAGAAACCTAACATACCGTTTGTAGTGCATTAATCTTCAAAGCACGTTGATGACGAGTATTACTACAGCTTGACCATTTCTGGAAATGTTATTTTTTCAATAGTCGAACTGTTAGTCAAGATCGTGTTACCGTCTAAGTTAACAGGGTCATTGGCTAGCTAGTGAGCCCGATAAGAGCTGAGTTTCACGCAATGCTTAAAACGAATGCCAGGAAGTGCAACGGTAAGAGTTTACGTACATGTAACATTATAAGTTTTTATCATCGATCCACGAGCTTGGTACATAAGTCACGAAAAGATTTTTCCAAGTTCAATCATTCTGAAGATAATTTATACGAGAAAGCTGTGCTACGTACGAACGAACGAAATTAAAAATGTAAGCTGACTCTACAGTAAGCAATAAGAAGAATTATTACGGTTAATAATGACACATGATTGTTCTTATTTACATATATCATTACGTTTAATTTTTTTTATTGAAATAGCTTAGAGGTTTGCAACTGCAAAACGCTAGGGTATTTTGAAATAGAACGAATTAATCCGGAAGGTGTTTCTGTTGAGTTTGCAAAGCGTATACACGCAATGAGCCTTTGGAGTGTTCGCGTGCCCCGTGAAAGATCGAACTTTCTGGTTCCTTCGACATGGATTTCGTTCTCGTGGTATAAATAAATCAAGGAATCGATGATAATCGTGTCAACGAAAAACTCAAGAAAATAAGAAACTAAAGTTGTAGGTGCAGACATGACACATTCCGTGGCTGTTAACAAGAAGGAGACGATGTAATCCGGTTTTATCGTCAAGGTGTCAATCGAATTACTCGCAAACTACTGCTTTCACGGAAGGAGTTAGCAAGATCCTGCTTTTCTTCTCTTTTTTTTTTTCTTTTATTTTCGAACATTTTATCTTCGATTGGAAAATGATAAATAAAGTAATTCGTAGACAATTATATAGCTATGTTTGTCAAGTATTTCATGCTATAAGTTAGCGAGTGAATTAATAATAATGTAAGGTAGAAAATAATTGACGAATGAAAAACGAAAGGATCTATTTCAAATATGATTCTATATCGATCACTTACGTTTAATCTATTATAATTTAATCACATTCGTGGTGTTCACAAAAATAACTATGTAATGTGAAATTTATTTAAATTGCGTAAACTGTATAGTTATATTATTATGGTAATAGTAATACTATACTAGCCATAAGTGTAGCTTATACTTACAATTAGCTAACATCAACCTTTGGATTCTTACGCTTTTTCTCTTTCTTTTTTTTGAAACAATATTAATTTTAAATATTATTACTAAAACATATTTTTAATCTACAGTATTTCAAAGGAATTCTTTAAAGTACGGGTAGAGTAAATTAGTGACATTTGAAATATGTTCGTTCGAAATTTGTTTGAAATTTTATGAAATTACTTCTCCTACAAGCGTTTAATTTAAAAACGTACGTGTCCCATCTACCTGTTTGCTTGTGACAGGAAAAAAATTGGGATCAAGTTCGTGATTGTTCAACGAGGAGATAAAAGGTCAGAAAAAGAATTTAGTTAGAGTGCCGTCGTCGATATCCTGACACTTTTCTACATTTGCGTTTATCCGGTTAGCGTATTTTACGAGTTGTCCTGTATAGTCCTGAATACGGGATACCATACACGATGCCATCGTTCTTTCACATAGACGAAATGTTTATTTTATACATGGAAATCTGGTGAATCCTTTCTCGCACAATTTAAGCTGGTTTAAAGTACCCTTGTCTTCTGAGAACTAGTATCGTTTCGTTTCTTTCTTTAGAAATGATGGAAGGTATATCGAATTTTTTTACTCCTTTTGCCATAAAATAGTATTGGAAATGAGAGATACATAATGTCTTAAATGTGATTTTTAATACTAGGACTTTCAAATCTGTTAAAATGACGGATATCAGATTTTTTTATTTATTTAAATTATTATTATAATTACAATTTATGGGTACTGAAGAGAGTTTTTCTATAGAGGCACCAGATAAATGAACAAAAAAGATTTTGCAAAAATATTTGGAATTTAATAAAAACCTTAGACGCAACCCTTAAGGGGACCTTCTACTCTGAGCACCTAAAAAAAAGGCTATTTTCGCGAATTTTTTCCAAGAAAACTATAAAAGATATCGATCTAAAAGTTGTTGGGTTTGTTAAATTGAGTCTTAAACTATATGAATGAATTTTTATTTTTTCATTTTAATTAATTTTTTATTGCAAAAACAGTAGTATAAAAAAACACCTTAAAACTTTAGTGC